CTGGGCCCCCCACATCCTCCTCAGCTTACCTCTGGGGTTGTCTGGGTTGTTTGTGTCAGGGAGGCAGGGGCCTTGCATGATTAACCTGTGCGCTTGCAGCCACCTCGGGGGAGCCCCTAGCCCGGATGGTGCAGGCCCACCACCTGAGGCCCCCATACCTGAGGCCTCACACCTGGAATAGGCCCATAAACACTTCATAGGCAGCTTGGCCACTGGCAGCTGCCATTTGGGGGACCACCAATTTCCTCTTCTCCATCCATCCATCCCAACCAGATTTGCCAGAGAAAGGGGGTCCCTGAAGTTTATATGGAGACAGCGTCACACTCTGAGGAAAAGGTATGCGAGGAAGGATGGTGTTTGTCAGAGATTGTGGTGGCTGTTTCCTCCGCGAGTCTCCTCGGGGAAGGAATCGACATTCAGTCCTAGGACAGCTCCTTTTTCTCTGCTGAGCCTCAGTGCTTCTAAAACAGCGGCTGTGGATGAGCGGCCTGGTTTTGTAGACAGCAAGGTGCAGTTCGGGGCCTGACCTTACTGGGCCAGGGCTGCAGGTCTCTTAGCAGCTCTGGGAAGTGCACCCTGGGTGCAGCCTGTCTGCGGGGCCTGCTGGGGATGCAGCTGGGGAACCGGCTAGTTGGTGTGGGAGTGGAAATTGACTTATTTTACTAGTTTTGTTTAATGGAACACACCCAGTGGAGGCCCCGCACAGCGATCCGCAGGACCCTCCCAGCCGCAGCTGCTGCTTCAGCCCGTCCTGCCTCATCTCTGCCCACCCCCCTACCCCTGGACAGCCTCTCAAGTCCATGCAAACACTTTGGTTTGTATCTGTAAAAGATACGGACTCTTGTCACTGTGTCATTTCATTTTACATGACCAGAATGCCATTGTTCCACCCAAATACCTGTAATGATTCCCTAATACTGTCATTTAAACGGAGAGAACCAGGCAGACAGTCTCCTGAGTGGGCTGGTGCACAGGACAGAGTGGCCCTGGGTATACCCAGGGTCCTCGAGGTCCAACCCCTCCTGCCACCCCAGCTCTGAGGGCGCAAGGGAGGCAGCACTGTGATCCTGTTCCCCTGTGTTTTGACTTTCAGGCCACCACATCCACCAACTGGATCCTAGAGTCCCAGAATATCAATGAACTCAAGTCGGAAATTAACTCCCTCAAAGGGCTTCTTTTAAATCGGTAGGAGTTGAGAAGGCGGGGCTTCTGCTCGGATTGGCATGGGGCTGGGGAGTGGGAGCTCCCCGTGGTCTGCCTGCCCATGGCTGGGAGGGGGCGCATCGCTCAGGGGCCCTGGCTGGGCTGCATGGTTCAGGCATTGGGTTTGGGAATCTTTTGAGCTTCACCTTTCCATCCCCAGTGGGCCCCTCCCTCCCCTGCCCAGGGTGACAGTCTGCAGAGCCCATAAGAATTTTGAAATATATACAGTCTCTGGGCCCCGTCAACACCTGCTCAAGGAAAGCAGGACCTCGAGCAGAGGAGAGCGTCCCATCCCTCCAGGCAGGCAGGGCTACCTCCTCCTCCATCCTGGTCCCAGCTGGTCCCAGAAAAGGTCCCCACAGAGGGCCGGGATCCTTAGTTTGGACCATCCTACGGTTCAAGGCAGGGGCAGAGCATGCCTACCTCCCCACCCCTAGCCTTAGTTTCCCTCTGCAGAGACAGCACCTTCCATGAGCTCCTCAGGGGCGGTGCTTTCACCTCTGAATGGATTGCTTGGGACCATCTGGGATTTTTTTTGTTTTTGTAATCCTTACCCGAGGACATGCTTAGAGAGAGGGAGAAACATCAATCCGTTGCTTTCTACACATGCCTGACAGGGGATCGAACCCACAGCCCTGGCATGTGCCCTGACTGGGAATCGAACTGGCAACCTTTTGGTGCACAGGACAGTGCTCAACCACCTGAGCCAGTCCAGCTCGTCAGGGACTGTCTAGTTTTAAAAGTGAAAGGCCTGTGCCGTGGGGCATGGGGTGGGTTGGTCACCTGACCTGCGGGGCTCCCAGGTTGGCCTTGTGCGGGCTCACATTACTTTGCAGGGCCAGCGTTTAGTGGGGGCTGTGTGAGGCGAAGGCACAAGGTGGTCCTTCACTCAGGGTCAAGGATGGGGTCCCAACCAGAGGACCCAGCTCTCCAAGCCACCTATTCCCAGGCCTTCTTTGAAGAAAAGAACTTGGCCTTGAGGGAGGTGTGGCTGAGCTGGGGGTTGTCATTAGGAGAAACCCCTTGTGTTCCCAAACCTAGGAGACAGGAGCCCTTGAGCCAGGGGACAGAGAGCAGGTGTTGGCTAATATTGGAGCCAAGAAATTTGTAAATTAAATTTTTCCTTAGCGTCCATGATGCTGGTGACGGCCGAGGCCTGTGTGCTCTCCATGGGTGGGATCTGAGGAGGAAGAGCTATCCCGGCCCCAGTGCTGGGGGGCACGGGGGCAGCCAGGCGGGGAGCAGGCCTTTGTCTTCTTGGCTCGGGCAGAGATGGGCCGCCTGCCCTAGAGCTCGATTTCCAAGCTGTTGCCAAGAGGGCCTGACCTCCCAGGTCCCTCCCGGACTTGGCTTTGGTCTGGGCTGGCTGGTGGCCCGGGGCCTGGGGCGGGAAGCAGGGTTGGGGAGCTGATTTCCCTGTCAAGTGTTGAGCTCAGAGGTTTTCTAAGAAAGTGCACCAGTGCCACCCTTCTGGTTTTTATGTGTCTGACCCAGAGCAGTGGCCCCCTTTTGTAGTGCAGTAGACAAGTTAAAGTTGGAGGCCCAGGTGTTTGGGGGTCCCCATCCTCATCTGCTCCCTCTCCTGGGGCTGGAGGTGGGGACGGTGTAAGGACCAGGGGGGAGCAGGCTCCAGGGCATGGCAGACCCGCCAGGGTGGCTGTCCAGCAGCTGTAAAGAGGGTCCAGGAGGCCCTCTGTGTGGGGCAGGGCACTCTGCGGGCAGCCCTGGCCTCATCTCAGCCGGTCCAGCCTCCAGAGGCCTTGGTTCTGAGAGGAGGAGGCTGGAGGGGAGCTGAGGCTGGCTGACTGAGCTCACTTCAGTCCCCTGCTGGGTGGCGCTGTCTCAGAGCACTTGGGATCGGGAGAGGAGGGTGTGGCTCCACTGCGGGTGGGGGCCCCAGGACTGGTCATGACCCTATCCTCCCTCCTCCGCCAGGAGGCAGTTCCCACCCTCCCCTTCGGCCCCAAAGATCCCGTCCTGGCAGATCCCAGTCAAGTCACCGTCACCCTCCAGCCCGGCCGCCGTGAACCACCACAGCAGCAGTGACATCTCGCCTGTCAGCAACGAGTCCACGTCACCCTCGCCTGTGAAGGAGGGCCACAGCCCCGAGGGCTCCACTGCCAGCTACCACCTGCTGGGTCCCCCAGAGGAGGGCGAGGGCGACGTGGATGTCAAGGGCCAGGTGAGGATGGAGGTGCAGGGCGAAGAGAAGAGCGACGACGAGGAGGACGAGGGCCACGTGGGCGGGGAGGACCGCCGGGGCGTGCAGCGGGAGGATCGCCGTGGCGGCGACGGGCAGATCAACGAGCAGGTGGACAAGCTACGGCGGCCCGAGGGTGCCAGCAACGAGAACGAGCGGGACTAGGCCCAGGTGTCCCTGGAGGTGGCCGACGCCCGGCCCTAGCCCCTCCTGGGGCTCCGGGAGGCACTTTGAGCCAGCTGGGGGCCTGGGGCCTGGGGCCTGGAGCAGTGTGAGGCCTGGGCACCCTGGCGCCTGCACGCGGGGCTGCACTCTGTCCGCCCAGCCTCCTCTCACCTGCCGCTTCCTCAGCTCAGCCCGGGCAGCAGCCTTGACCTTGTTCCGTCAGTGAGGCCCCTCTGCCGGCCTCCTGGACCCGGGCTTGTCCAGGTGTGTCTGCTGAGCATCTTAGCTAACCCAGCACCGTGCATGACAAGAGGTAGCTCTTACCTGACTCCTGCCCTCAGAGTTGGAGGAGCTGCGTTGACCAGGTGCCTGCTGT